ACGTGAAGAGGAAACCTAAGATCATTTCAAAAAGATTAAATATAAACAACCTTTTTATGATAACTATTTTGGAGGATAAATAAGGTCAACAAAAATGTAAAATTTCTTCCGCAATGTTTTGCTCGTCAAGATAAAATTTCTTCACTGGTCAACTTGCTTAGTTGCCCTATGATGTCTCCGAAGATCTATAATTTTTGGTTCTGAGCCCACCTATTAATGACCTGCATTTTGTGAATTTCTTGGTCTTTTTGTGTTAGCTTTTATTGTTGGATGCTCATTTCACAATTGTAATTATGCTATGCTTCTGGTTGATTTTATCAACTTGTGCGTTTGATTGTCATTAATGAATATATCGGGCAATGCCTTCAATAACTCCTCCGCACCTCCTTCATCCCCCCCCAAAAAAAATCAACTTGTTTTTTTCCCACATGCATACAAGTGTCAGAAACTTAGGGTCTGTTTGGGGTGGTGTGTTTCACACGGCACGGTAGGCTGCTGCACATTTTTGTCGTTTGGGGCGGAGTTCGGATCGCAGTGGTTGCACCATTTAACAAAAAGCGGGTCACGGGGTTGACCCTGCGGCTCGCGTTTCTTCTTGTATTTTTTACCCTCTTGCCCCTCGTTTCGACAGCGCATTCGTATTTTTCACATTCATTTCCCGTGGAGTTTCAGCTTCCTCTGCCCTAACCCGTCGTGTCGGACACCATCTTCTTTCGGTATCCCCTCTCCCTATGTATTTTTGAGACATTTTCATTTCTCGTGGATTTGCGTCATATGGATTTGGCTGTATTTTTCTGGTTTGGAGCTTCTATCTGGTGATGGTGCTCTAGTTTGATATGGTAGATTTGTCTGTGATTTTCTTCTTTCGTGTTCCTATTTTGCAAAACTTATGCTTAGAAAATCATATTTTTCAATCACACACAATCTATGAAGTGGGGCAGTGAAATAGATAGCCCCAGACAATTATTGTGAAAGCATATCATGCATAGTTATTGATACCCTATGGGTCACATAATGGAAAATTATTGTGAAAAATGGCAACAAATCATCCTTGCCATCATTTTTATGTTCACTGCTAGGAAATATATGTAGAGTTTCATGCTTTGTTATTGAAATTTGGTAGTAATATGAGTTAAAGCATTCTTCTAACAAGAAAAACATATTTTTCAATCACATACACACTTTGAAGTGAGGAGGGAAAATATATAGCAATATGACTGTAAAAGCATCATGCATGACTACTGATATCTCTTAGGGTATATAATGAGAAAATGTTGGCAGAAAGAGTAATATATCATATTTGTCATCATGTTTATGCTTACTGATAGGAAACAAATGTAAAATTTCATGTTTTGTTACTGAAATTCAGGACTAATACCACTTGGGGCACTCTCAGGACAAGAAAATAATATTTTTCAATCACACACACGCTCTGAAGTGAGACAGAGAAATAAATAGCCTCAGACAATTACTGTGAAAGCATATCATACATAACTACTGATACCCCTTGGGCATATAATGAGAAATTATTGTGAGGAAGAGCAACAAATCATCTTTGTCATCATTTTCATGTTCACTGTTAGAAAATATATGTAGAATTTTATGTTTTGTTACTAAAATTCAGTAGTAATACCACTTAGAGCATTCTTGTGAGAAGAAAAACATATTTTTCAATCACACACATTCTGAAGTGAGATAGAGAAATAGATAGCCTCAAAATATGACTATGAAAGCATATCATGCATAGTTACAGATACCTCTTAGAGCATATAATGAGAAAATATTGGAAGAAATGGCAACATATCATCTTTGTCGTCATTTTATGCTCACTGCTATGAAACATACGTAAATTTCATACATTGTTACTGAAATTCAGGACTAATACCACTTGGGGCACCCTTAGGACAAGAAAAACATATTTTTCAATCACACACACAATCTATGAAGTGAGACAACAAAATAGATAGCCTCAGACAAATACTGTGAAAGCATATCATATATAGCTATTGATATCCCTTGGGGCATATAATGAGAAATTATTAGGAGAAAATATCAACATATCATCTTTATCATCAATTTTATGCTCACTGTTAGGAAACATATGTAGAATTTCTTGTTTTGTTACTGAAATTCAATATTAATATCACTTGAAACATTCTTATGACAAGAAAAACATATTTTTCAATCACACGACTCTAAAGTGAGGCAGAAAAATAGGTAGCCTCAAACAATTAATATGAAAACATATCATGCATAGCAACTGATACTCCTTGGGCATATAATGCAAAATTATTGTGAGAAAGAGCAACATATCATATTTGTCATCATTCTTATGCCAACTGCTAGAAAACATATGAAGCTGTGGTCTGTTGACCATGCTCATCCAAACCTATTTTTCAAAATTTATTATTAGAAAATCATATTTCTCAATCACACACACACTCCGTAGTAAGACAATGAAATAGATAGCTTTAGAAAATTACTGTGAAAGCATAATATGCATAACTCCTGATACTTTTTGAGACATATAATGAGAAAATATTGTGACTAAGGGAAACATAGCTTCTTTTTTTATGAGAAGAAAAATATTTTTCAATCACACACACACTCTGAATTAAGGCAGTCAAATAGATAGCCTCAGAAAGCTACAGTGACATGATATTGTGCATAGCTATTGATATCCCTTGGGGCATATATATTGTCAGAAAGTACAACAGAACATCACACATAGCCTCTATTTTATAAGAAAAATATATTTCAATCACACACTCTGCATTGAGGCGGTGAAATAGATAGCCTCAGAAAGCTAAAGTGACATGATATTGTGCATGACTATTGACACCCCTTGGGGCATATATATTGTCAGAAAGGACAAAAAAATATCATTGTCATCATTTTATTATTCAACGCTAGAAAACATATATAGAATATCATGCATTATTATTGAAATTCATCATTAAAATCCCTTGGGCCATTATATGAATTAATATTATAAGAAGGGGCAACAAATCATCTTTGTCAGCATCTCTGTACTCACAACTTCTGTTTTTTCTATCATAGTTATAAAATGGCTAAAATCAAGGAGATTGGTTTGCCCGCATTGTGGGACAGAAACCAAAACAATCTTTTGTGACCTTTGCCTCATCGAAATTGATCTAGGCAATAGACTCACTACATATTTCAACAAGGAATAATAGCAGAATATTATAAAAAAAATTCAATAAGAGCACAGGCAAAGGTCACACGATGCACGTTACATACTATTCTTTAAGGCAACATTTCTAATTCATTGCAGTAAGCTTTAAATATACAATTCGTACATGAAAAACTCATTCTAATTTGAGTAGCATTGCATTAAAGCAATAAATGAAACTCACGTTGATGCACGGGTTTTAAATAATGAGAAGATTACATTCATCGGCCGTTATGTGGCCCCTATGCAGAATATCATGGTTATTTGTGACTTCAAAATGTGTTTTACTTTCATCATGCCCGGTTGAGAGGGTAGTGCGCAAGACAGTAGAATTTTCAAGACTGCAACGCGAAATACCCACTAAAACTTCCCACATCCTCTTCAAGGCATGCTCTAGCCCCAAATATTTTGGTGATTCACTTTAACCTTCATACTAATTATGCAATACATTATAGACAAATATTATTTGGTGAATGTTGGATATTCGTTGCGATGAGGGTATGTCAAACTCTTTTTTGATACAAGATATCACATATCTGATTGAACGAGCTAGCAATATTACACATGGCAGAAAGAAGTTGTTTAATAAAAAATATTCTTCCCTACGCGGTGTCATCGAGAGAACGATTGGCGTTTGGAATAAGAAATGGGTTATACACCGTGGTATGTCATCTTACCTGTTTCTCAAACAGGTATAGATTGTGATTGTTAGATTGTGATTGTCACGATGACTCTGCACAATTATATTAGACGACATCCTTCCCGCAATGACATTAACTTTCGTAGGACCAATGACGATCAGAAGCATGTACCTCTGGAAGCCTTTGAGTACCACATCGGGCACTCTCAGTCACGAGTTAAGAATGATCATTCCATTATCTGGTACTAGAGAGGGGGAGGGTGCAAGCGACATGGCGGAACTAAAGGAAAAAATTATTGATGTGTTAGTAGAAGGCTGATTGGATTATTTGTAATTTATTCATTATCATGTGTAATTCATTTCATTTGTTAAAACATTTTTAACATTCATATTGGATAGTGAGCTTTCAATGTTATATTTCTTTTATTCAAAGACATGTATACTTCACATTTATATTGCTTGTTTGAAATTTTTACGCAATTTGTAAGTGTAAATTTTTAATTACTTATTTTAGCAAATTCAATTTTTGTCTTCATTAATGCATTGTCTTTTGCAGCGACGGGGAAGATGAGCTCAAGAACTTCAGGGACATCTCGACGATTGCTCTGCAACTGTGGACTAAATACTTCCCTATTGACGTCACGTCAGACCCATAACTACGGGAGACAATGCAGAGCAGTATGACTTCTTCCGGTAGGCAAACAGTCCAGCGAATTCTACGGTCGATGGTGATCGGGAATGGATACCATCACTGGTGAACAGTGAAGCACAGAACATACACCGTCTGCATGTTAGTGTCTACAGATGTTTTTGAAGTATCGGGTATATGGTTATGATAATTTTTGTATGAACAACATTACTAAAGAGAGGCAGAATTATTATTTGTCGAAAAATAACTGAAACAAACAGTCAGTCAGCTTCCTAGCAACCGCTTCTTGGGGGCAATTAAGCTGCAGTTGATAAACTGTTAAACTGCAACTGCCCCAAATAGACCCTTACTTTCCACATATCGTTGTTGATTGATTGATACTTTTGTGCAGTGTGAGATTGTTGTTATAGGCGGGCACCAATAGCCAAGACCAATGCAATCAGGCATGAGTAATGAGTCATTCCAGTGGGAACAGTATAAGCAATTATTTGTTTTCACTAAAAGCCCTACATACTTACCTAGATCTGCCACAGCCAACCGTAGATAGATAACATGCGGATTGTTGGAGTAGACTCGCAAGTCGTTAAGCTGTCCCATCCACATAATGCATCCACTCCCGGCGCCTGTGAAATTCGCCGACGAATAAGCCGTGCAGGAGCAATTCATCAAACACCTTTCTCTGCACGCATCCAACTCCAACCACCTGTCCTCTACCGCCACCGAAGTATCCGGTAGCTTCACAGCGCTTACCGGCACAAACCCATCTGTAGAGCTTCTTGTCCCGTTTCGGTCGCAATCTAATTCCGTCTTCCTAACGCATCCACCCGACCAATCCATCATCACCCAGTTCGCCGGATATATCGGCTGAAATCCATGCAAGCAATTACACATAGGTAAATTGCTCGCATTGCATATCCCGAAAGCCCCGCAATAGCCGTAATGGTCGCAATGATCGTCTGGTTCTTGCCAGAAGAGGCTCCATTGACCCGGCGGATCAAGCCACAGCAAGCGCTCCCCGTTGCCGTCGGGCGTTAAGATGAGCCTCGTTATTTGGTTTCCGATCGGCTTGTAGAAGTACACGACCTCGTCGGCGTTGGAGACGAAAGTGATGGTGAAGAAAGCGAATGTTCGTGTCTCCGGGCTGCCGGAAAATCCGGCGCCGATCCACGGACCGCCGCGCCAGAACCAGGTGGAACCCTCGGTGGTAACAAGCTGTGGAACGCCGGAGAGGTGAAGGTTTGCGGTGTAAGGCCCCGGCGATGGATCGGAAAGGCTCGCCCAAGAGGTGATGTTGCGGATGAGACCGGATCGCAGATCATACCCTAACTTCATCCCGGCGAGGAATGTGTCCGTTGGGTGGTCGAAGCTCTGCCATATATACTCTGAATTATCAGAGTTGATGGCGGTTAGGAAGATCAATACTGCAAAAAAAAATTTCTTACCTAAAAACTAAATTTAATTTCCCATACCATTATTAACTCCTCTGACGACTAGGTTGCCTGTGTCAAGAAGTTGAGCTATCGGGTTGACGATGGAGGTCTTCGTTTCATTAATGGCAGGGGAGGTGAAAGACGACCAATAAACGGTGGAGTTACCGTCGATAACAACCAGCTTGCCGTCGGAAGAGAGGGTGAGGGCCGCCGTAGACTCGGTGATCGGACTGTTCCGATTGGCGACCCAAACGATATCGTGAGTAGGGATCTTATTATACCAGATAGCGACGTAGCGTCTGGTGGAGGAGTTGGTAGGGCTGAAGAAGCCGAGGGCGAAGACGCCGGAGAAGGATACGAGCGTGTCGCCGTCGTAGAGAATTGTCGAAGAGTTAAGTGTATCGCCGCCGCCGCTGGTTAGGGTGGTAAAGAGGGCAATGGGAGCGAAGAAGAGGATGAGTTGTTGAGTTTGTATACTTTTCATAATGCTTTTGATGAATGAAAGTGTTTGTGTTCCCTTGATTTTATTTGCACTTAGAAGTCTATGTGTTTGATATAATATTTATACTATATTGACTGGAGTTCATGACTAGACTCTTGAAGGTAAGAAAAGTTAGGGGGTTGAACTTGCGTGTAGATTTTTAACACCTAGCAAGTTTTTTTTTATTATTATATTTTTTTATTTTTTTGTGTGTAAAAATTGTCAAAATTTGATTAGACATGCCCGGCTCGAACTTTACTTTGAAAAATTCAATATTTTTCAAGTCGTGTTTTGGTCAGATAATTCGACATGTTTATTATTCGGGTCGGATTCAAGTTAAATCCGAAAATCCAGACATTGCCCGAATAAGCACAAAATTTCGGGTATGTTTGAGTTAGTGGGTCCATCTCGGGTTCAGGTTTTTGTTTTCGACACGTTTTTCATTTAAGTTGGATTGGGGTGAACCCTATTTGGGTCAGGTCATTTTCGGGTCAAACTTGAACTCAACCTGAATTGACACCCTTGGCTTTTTGAGCCTCCAGGAAGATTGTTAAATAGGTACATCAAAATATGTCACAATCTGGACGACTCGGTGTCTGGACGACCAGCAGCATGAATAACTTGTAATTTGGATGACTAGCAGTCTGAACGAACTGCGGTATGAACGACCAGCAACTTGGGTGATCTACAATCTAGGGTTGTAAATGAACCAATGCACTCCATAAACAACTTGAACTTAACTCGCTTAAGGCTCGATCATATTTGTGCAAATTACTAAACAAAAAAACTTAAAAAACAATTTTAAAAAGCTTGAAGTTTAAATGAAGTGAACATTAATATAGTTGAATTTATTCATTTATGTTCACGAACAACTCCTTTGTCATTCAGCAAGTAATTTATTAAATATTCGATATCAAGCTGGATCAAAATTTGCATTATATATATATATATATATATATATA